ATCAGATATGTCCCTCTCCCGGAGCTGCGGATTCAGTGCCGTCCTTTGAAATAAATTCTTCTCGGGGGAGAGGCAGGCATCCACTTAGTATTTGGGACTGGGGGAGGGGCAGGCATCCACTTAGTATTTGGGACTGGGGCCAGCCCCCCACCCCCACCCCCCGACCTCTCCACTGGTTCACTACTCCAAGTCAGCATGTTGCATTCACACCTTGGAGCATGTCTGGTCCCTCTTTTCCTGTGGAGATATAAACAATACCCCCCCCACCTTGGGTGGGTTAGCACCCCGTGCCCCTGCTACCCATTTCTTCCTTATGAAAATAAGGAAGAAATTTTTTTCCCCTTTCCCCACCTCCTCCCCAGTTGTCTACCATGTGCATCCCTGCATTTGATCTGGTCCCTGCCATACTACCCGGTCCTCACCCCAAGAATGTTTGTCTACAGTAGCTTTTTCCCTATGCCCCTTTTCCTTTTTTTCATTTTAACGTTTACCTCAGCGGACTCATGCTAAACCTCTTTTATACATATATGATTGTGTCTATGAATTTGTTTCTCTCGCATACCCAGACGACACAATAATAGCATTTGCACTGCATGGTGACCACAGTGAATGTCATTGAACGTACATATGAACGTGGTAGAAATGGCTAATGTCACCTATATATTGACAACAGTAAATATAAGTAGGTTATTTTATGCTTACAGACTTGCAGTGGTGTCCTGTCATATACGAGATTATAAGAGAGAGCTAAATTTTCACTTTTTAATTTTTATTTTCATATTTTACACTGCCCACTGTCTCCTTTCACCCATGTTTCTGTTGCTTGTCCCCCTGGGGAGGGTATGGGGCTGGAAGTCAATTATTGCGATTAGGTCCCCCTTTCTCCCCATTTGCCCCCCACCTTACTCCTACCTCCATGGTGTCGCTACTCTCATTATTGGTCCTGAGGGGTTCATCTGTCCTGGAATCTATGTGTCGAGAACTCTTATCTGTACCAGTGTACATGGTCCAGTCTAGCCAGATTTGTAAGATAGAACTGGGGTCATGACAATGGGGAGGTGAGGGCTGGGAGGAAGCATTAAAGAACTAGAGGAATGTTGTGTGTTTCTTCGGCGCTATACTCCACACTGACTGGCTTGTTCCTTCCTTGTGACCCTTCTGTGAGGGGATGTCTTATTGTCTACAGATGGGCTTTGGGTCTCCATTCTGACACCCCTCGTTTGCATCAAAATTATTTTGTTTTGGGTCTTCTGGTGCCTGATACCTGATCCCGTCGACACCTCGTGAGCACGCAGGTTAGTGTGCTGCTTCCATGTGGGCTTTGTTGCTTCCCTGCTAGATGGCTGCTAAAGTTTCACTTTTGTTTAGGTTATGGTTAGGTAAAAAAGTTTGGAGAGTCCAAGCGTTTTCAGGGAAATGGAGTCACTCTTGAAACCAGCAGTCATTCGAAGTTTTGCGCTTCAAGGGACCTGGCGGACCCAAGATCTGTGGTCCCTGCTGATGCTGTGGCCCTCACCTGGACCTTTCTCTTTGACAGGAGGACAGTGAGATCCCACTCACGGAAGAGGATTATCGGAGAAGAAAGCACCATCCAAATTTTCTGGATCACATAAATGCAGAAAAAATGGTCCTCAAACTGGGGAAAAACGTAAGTCTGGAGCAGAGCAGCAGCACTGTGGCAGCAGGAAGGCGCTCTTTCTCGGCGACGTGCAGGAGTCTTCCTCCTCAGGCTGACTCAGCTCTGGGCACAGTCATGGCTCTTCACTCGTTTTTTTTTTATCATTTTATTAGGGGCTCATACAACTCTTATCACAACCCATACATCCATCCATTGTGTAAAGCACATTTGTACAATCATTGCCCTCATCATTCTCAAAACATTTGCTCTCCACCTAAGCCCCTGGCATCAACTCCTCATTTTTTCCCCTCCCTCCCCGCTCCCTCCTCCCTCATGAACCCTTGAGAATTTATAAATTATTATTTTGTCATATCTGCCCTGTCTGACGTCTCCCTTTGCCCACTTTTCTGTTGTCCGTCCCCCAGGGAGGAAGTCACATGTAGATCCTTGTAATATGTTTCCCCTTTCCAACCCATCCTCCCTCTACCCTCCCAGTATCGCCACTCATACCACTGATCCTGAAGGGATCATCTACCCTGGATTCCCTGTGTTTCCGGTTCCTATCTGTACCAGTGTACATCCTCTGGTCTAGCCAGATTTGTAAGGTAGAATTGGGATCATGATAGTGGGCAGGGGGGCGGGGAGGAAGCATTTAGGAACTAGAGGAAAGTTGTATGTTTCATCATTGCTACACTGCACCCTGACTGGCTCGTCTCCTCCCCAAGACCCTTCTGTAAGGGGATGTCCAGTGGCCTACAAATGGTTGTTGGGTCTCCACTCCGCACTCACCCCCTCATTCACAATGATAAGATTTTTGGTTCTGATGATGCCTGATGCCTGATCCCACCAACACCTCATGATCGTGTAGGCTGGTGTGCTTCTTCTATGTGGGCTTTGTTGCTTCTGAGCTAGATGACCGCTTGTTTACCTTCAAGCCTTTAAGACCCCAGACACTATATCTTTTGATAGCTGGGCACCATCAGCTTTTTTCACCACATTTTCTTATGCACCCATTTGTCTTCAGCAATCGTATCAGGGAGGTGAGCACACAATTATATGATTTTTTTTGTTCTTTGACGCCTGATAACTGATCCCTTTGACACCTCGTGAGCACACAGGTTGGTGTGCTTCTTCCATGTGGGCTTTGTTGCTTCTGAGCTAGATGGCCGCTTGCTCTTCACTCTTTTGTTGAGGGATATGTGCATGCCAGGAGCCCCGTTAGTGCAGTAGTTAATTGCTTGGCTGCTGACTTGCATCCTGGCAGTTCGGACTCACCACCAGCCAAAGACTGTAGCTTGGGAGACCTATCTGTAATGAACCGTGGTGGCATGATGGGTTACTCATTGGGCTCCTAACCACAAGGTCAGCAGTTCAAACCCACTGACCTCTCCTCAGGAGACAGGTGAGGCTGTCTGGGGGTCCCAGGGCTGTGGCATTTCAGAAGCACATTGCCAGTCTGTGCTTCCTAGGTGCCTTGGCATGGGTTTGAACCACCAACCTTTCAGCCAGGAGGGAGTTATTAACATACTCAGGGACTCCTTAGTGAGTGATCTAGCAAGAGAGTGACAAAATGGTGAGAGGAAAGAAAGGGAAGGAAGGATCCCACAGCTGGCCCCACTGTGATGACCCAGAGGTGACCTCTCGAGGGCAGGGAACAGCTGCATCCCGGGGCTGCACCCATCGGATAGACCGAACTGACTGCCCCCAAGCCAGTTCCAACTCAGTGACCCTAAAGGACAGGGTAGAACGGCTTCTTCATTATTCCGAGGCTGTAACTATATATTTTAAATAGTTTATTGAGCTATAATTGACATATCTTACAATTACTCAATAGCTTGATCCTATCAAGAAGAGTTATTCAAGCATCACCCCAAACCAACCTCAGGACCTTTTCTTCCGCCTTGTACTCAAGGGTGCTGACCCCCCACCCCCATCCCCTTCCGTGCCTCTAAGGCAATCATTGATCCAGCTACTTACTGTATATAAATCCACCACCCCAACTTCCCTATACAGGAATACATACAAAACAAGGACCAAAAAACCCAACAACAACAAAGAAAAGACCCAGCAACTATGGCCATATAAAACAGAAAGACTCCAATCTAAGAAAGCAGATAATACCAACAATTTAGAATAAATTCAGAGTGGATCTAAAGGGAGACCTAGTGGCATGGTGTTACATTCCAGCCTAAGTAGAGCTGCCCACATCCACTTACCGTGCTCTCCATCTGACAGGGGGCTGACCATGTTCCTCGTCTATGGACAGTGGGGATTCAGCAGGGACTCAATCCACACAGGGACCCTGAAAATGGATTTGGGGCTTTCACTATCATCTATAGCACTCCACAAACTTGGTGTTTAGACTTTAGGCACTGTTCCCGCCTCGGGGTTTGGATCTTATTATTTACAACCGTGGGATTGTACAGGCTGGTGTGCTTCTTCTGTGTGGACTTAGCTGACTCCTTACTCAGATGGCTGCTTGTTTTGAGACAAGACTTTAAGACCTCAGACATCATTTTTCCTGAGAGATGGGCACCATCTGATTCCTTCACCACACTTTGCTAGGGCCCTCCTATCTCCCACAATATCTTCATGAGTGGGAGGACCAGCATGGCCATGCCACCAGAACTAATTGTTCGTATACTAGGGCTAAGATCAAGCGAAAACTCAAATCTGCTCATGTAACTATGGCTTCTATATGTCCCTGGTTCACTTTTTTAGAGACTTCATTATTGTTTTGTTGTAGTACATCATAAATCATCCCCATTGACCAGATAATAACATTGATCTAGGCAATGATAAAACACTGTCGAGCAAAGGAATTCATATGTGTGTAGGACATTTTTAGATTCCAATTCATGAATTCTTAACTTGTACATCTTCGAAACTTGGGTGACTCGTCACTAGCTACCCAAGCCGTGGGGGCTGGAGACAAGGCACTCTTTCATGAAGGCAGAACCATGTCCCATAGACCTGGCACAGAAAGAGACAGGGAGTGGGAACAGAAAGACAGGTTGCGCCCAATCACCATTCTTTGCACATCTTGAAAGAAAGAGGCCCGAACCCACCCAAAGTCTAATGACCACCAACTCCCTAACCTGGGGATAGCTGCTTCTCCAACGAGGCAGGCGTTTCAGGTTAAAGTTCTAGGGACTGTTTCAGTGCCTTAGTTCTGCTACAAGTGAGGTTAAGGCCAAGTCCAATTCAATTAGGGCAGTTTCCAATTCGGGTCCTTCTGGTGAGGTCTACGAAGGGTGCTGTGTACCTCGAGAGGACAGAGTCTATTGTCCCAATTGTCTGTAGCACGTTGCCTGGCTCACCATGGGTGGGCTAGAAACTAGGTCCAAAGGTCTGAGGTAGGAACATAATACAATACTGGGTATATTTTCCAATGGGGTCTCCTCCTGGCGTACCCACCCTCAGACGTGTGATTGCTGAGGCTGTAAATCTTTACAGGAGCAGAAAGCCTCATCTTTCTTCCACGAAGTAGCTGGTGGATTCGAACGGCTGACATTGCAGGAAGCAGCCTAACACTTAACCCACTATGCCACTAGGACCCCTTTAGAATTGCAGTTATCCCCGCCCCCATCCTTCCTCCCCCTGCTGAAGGGATTCTGTTTTTGTCAAACCACTATAGATTTCAACGGTCTTCATAAGCTATCCTGATTTAAAATCAGAGATTAGCATGTCTACTGCTCCCTGCAATTGGTAAGGAGTTTCAGGTTCTCAAGGTGGAGAAAGGTCACGGTTGTAGCTTCAGAAGGACCTAGCCTGTGGCCAGTGCCATAGCCCTCAGGCTGTCCAGCAGGAGGGCCCCTCCTTCCAAGGGCAGGTCCTATGCCTGGGAGTTTTGCTGGTTTGCTGGGAGTTTGCTGGGGGGAGGGGGCATCCGACTCCCCCCACCGGGAAGTCCCATTACCTTCGCCCCTTTGGTGGACGGCAGGTGGGGAGTGATGTGCAACCAAAGTTTTTAATTTTTATTTTTATATATAGAAATCATTTGGGGGGGGGGGTGTCTTACAGCTTACATCATAGTTCTAAGGTGACACCTAGTGGTCTCAGAGGTTGTTACAGTGGGAGCGTTCTGACACTTCCTCTCATCACAGAGTGACAAACAGTGCTAGAATTGGGGACTTGTGCCCCCCAGTCTAAGGAATACTGGGGGTGGGGGGCAGTGGCTGCTCCCCGGAGGGTCGGTGGTTTGGACCCACCAGCCTCTCCCCTGCAGGGAGGAAAGGCCTGGCCTAGGAAACCCTGGGGGCAGACTGAGAGCCGACAGAGTGATGTGCAGCCAGTGTGGACCCATGAGCCAATGACTTTAGCTGGTCATTCGATGTGTGGGATTGAACTAAACAAATACAACAAAAGAGCTAGTTCACACACACCTGCCACCGAGTCCATTCTGACCCCTAGGACAGGGCAGAACTGCCCCTGTGGCGTTTGGAGACTGTCACTAATTACAGAAGTAGAAAAGGGCCAGATGAGATGATGTAAATGCTTTCCAGTTCAAATTTCTAGACCTACAGGATTTCATTGACATTGCCCCTCCCCCAGGATTTGTGTGATTTGTGTCTAATCCAGGGGTTTTGGACATATAAATACCAAGAAACACAAGACATACTAAGTGCTAGCCTAAAATGGAGAGGTATTATCCTCTCAATACCTTTTTTGTTGTTGTTAAAAAAAAATTAATTAAATCTGTCCTATAAGCTAAATGATGCAGTCAAATGTTCATTTTAAAAGTTGTCCTTCCCCCTCCCTCTCAAACTCACTACCATCAAGTTGATTCCAGCTCACAGCAGCCCCGTAGGACAGAGTAGAACTGCTTCTTATGGTTTTAAAGGTTTATTAAAAGAACATTTTATTGTGGGCTCTTACAGCTCTTATAACATCCATTGTATCAAGCACATTTGTACCTATGTTGCCATCATTATTTTCAAAACATTTTCTTTCTACTTGAGCCCTTGGTATCAGCTCCTCTTTTTTCCCTCCCTCCCCCACCCTGCCACCCTCGCGAACCCTTGATAAATTAGAAATTATTATTATTTTCATATCTTACACCATTCACCCATGGTTCTGTTGTTCTTCCCCTTTGGGGGTCGGGGGTTATACGTTGATCATTGCGAACGGTTCCCACTTTTCTCCCACTTCACTCACCACCCTCCCTCTATCCTCATGGTATGGCTACTCCCATTTCTGTTCCTGAGGGTTTATCTGTCCTGGATTCTGCATGTCAAGCGCTCTTGTCTTTACCAGTGTCCATGCTCCATTCTAGCCGGGTTTGTAGGGTAGAGCTGGGTTCATGATAGTGGGCGTGAGGCCAGCTCTCTCTTCTTAGTGGTAGGAGGCCCCTCTGATCTCCGCTCAATTATTTAATCTCTCTTATATCTCAAAAGAGATTGGCTCTAGAGGCAGTAACTGGATTCTTGGGGGAACGGCAGGGGAGGTTGGGGGGAACAGGGAGCTAACAGCAATGGGTACAAGAAAGAAGAGAATATTCTAAAAATAGATGTGGTGATGATTTGAGACCTCTTTTAAATAGGATTGAATTGTATGGCATGAAATTATAAGATACAGCTTTGTCCTATAGATTGTACCTTGCCTCATTAACATAACTGACTCTAAACTGATCTCATTAACAACATAACCATCCAGTTGTTTCTGATTGAGAGTGGTCCTATGGTACAGATGAGAACTGCTGCTTAGGGTTTCTGAGGCTATCAATTGCCATGGGAGCAGACGCCTTTTGGAACAAGGGGCCTTTTGAGACAACAGTGGCACCAGGCTTCTTCCATGAACACCCTAGACTAGGTTAGTGCTTGAAATATTTAGGATAATGACATCAGGTCACGACCCGGAGCATCTATACAGGACACTGAGAATCATGGCCTAGCCGAGCTGACACATGCTTATGAGGGGCACAGTTTAATGCAGAACACTGGGGCATGCGGAAGAGAGCCGTCAAGGGAAAGGGGTCAGTGCCCAGAGATTTTCTGTGCCTCAATCTTTTCAACCTCCCAGAAATCCTATTTCTCTGCGATGTAGCACCTTTAGAAATACTTGAGATATTGAGGAAAATGAGATCAGTGCCTAAATGACCTTTCTCGGGTGAAGGGGATACTCCGTGCCAATTAAATTCCGTGCAGTAGGGCCCATCACCAGGCTCCTTGGGTTTGTATCTGTCTCCTCCCCTCCTAGGAACTTCCCGGCTCTTCTGGAAGGGCCCATGCTACAGCCCTCTTTCCCATCCAAGGCCAGCCCAGCACGAACAAGTATAACGCTTTCACAAGCAACCAACCAACCCTGTATCTGATTAGCACCTTGGTGGTGTAGTGGGTTGCGCTTTGGGTTGGCAACCACAGGCCAATTGTTCCAGACTATTAGTTGCTCTGTGGGACAAAGACGAGGCTTTCTACTCCCATCAACAGTTACCGGCTCAGAAAGCCACAGTTCTACCCTTTCTGAAGAGTCGTCCTGAGCCAGTGAGGTTGCGGTTGAGGTTTGAGTGCATGAAGAGGCCTGGCTCAGTCGTCGTCGTAGACGCCAGAAGCAATCCCGAGTTGTGTGGTAGTGGTGCTCACCCTCCTTTGGGGTGGGGGTGGGGGTGTGGATCATGTATTCTGCACAAAAGGTGTTGAAAAAACCAACACACGGGCCCATACAATGCAGATAGTGGCCAGAGGAAACGAACACACAGAGGGGTTGCAGTCTGCAACAGTGCATGCGACATTTGTGTAAAAATACGTCTTGTCCCTGTCCTGAACAACACCCGAGTGGCCTGGGAGAGTGGATGAGCATTCCTTTTAACGACCGAAAACAACCTCGTTGTACGTAACGAGTGGTCGTCAGCGCTTTCCTGTGTTTTATTTAACAGAACAAGAAACTTGCAACTTACGTCGTTGCTGCTGGGCTTCAGTACGGCATGGAAGGCGGCATCTTGCACACGTTTTTTAAGGTAGGCCTTCTGGCTGATCCTAGACGTGCCCTGGGCAGGAGGGCAGCACAATGAGAACGCAGCAGGTGAATAGTCCATCCCGACTTCTCCCCGACGGTTAGCAAGTCATCTAGATCCACCAGGTTCAGAACAGTGGAGAGAAGGGTGCTCCCCTTTCCTTAGTGAGACATGTGGGTGTAAAGTAGTCGAGAGGCGCCAAAACCAAATCAGTTGAATTAGAACAAACAGGCTTTATTAGGGAGAAAACCCCAGCCTGGGCGAAGTCCCACAGTCCACAATGTCCGGGCTGGGGGATTCGCACTGCAGGCTACAGGGGTGATGCTTATATATGGACAGGTATGTCTGTGTTTCTGGAATGTAAGGTGTCTTCCTGGTTCCGGGTGTATTCATGCCGGGTGCAGAGCGGTAGGTGAGAACAAAGCAGACACTGAGCCAAATGGGCCGTGCCGGGTGCAGAGTGGAGGGTTGAGAGAGCAAAGCAGGCACTGAGCCAAACGGGCAATGCCGGTGCCGGGTGCAGAGCGGCGGGTCGAGAATAAAGCTGGCCATTAGCCAGCTCTGGTCAGCTCTGCAGGTGTGTGTGGGAGATTCAAGGCCACCTGTTGCCAGTTGTTTTAGCCAGCTTTGGTCAGCTCCACATGGGTGGGAGAGATTCAAGGTCACTTGCTGCTAGAAGCCGGCCTGGTATTGATCCGGCCATACTGTAGGGATCGTCCGCCAGGTGATTCCAGGCACCAGGAACTGTTGTAGGTTCTTGGGGATGGGGGTACGGTGAAGTACAAAGGGTTTGTGGGGAATCCCACTCTCTTTTCATTCCATTTTCCCATGAACTTTTTGAAGCTCCTCAGACAGTCCCTACCTCTGTGGAGCTTACAGGGCTGTGGGGTGGAGAATAGATTCCAGAAGGAACAAGAAGGGAACAGGAGATGGTGAGACTAGAATAGTGCTTCTAAGAATTTTGCCCTAGTGTTGGACCGTTAGAGGAGGGCATGCTGTCGAAAGAGGGTTGCTGGGCTGCGTGCTGGTTTTTCAGAGTGCAAGCGAGGACAACTGCGCAGGAAGCACTACAGACACCCGTGCGTGCTCTCAGCTCCTCTGCCTTATCTGACCAGTGAGAGTTGGCACTTTCAGACCTCTGTCCCAGCCCCGCTTGTCTTCTCCCACTGAACTCTCCCCTAGGATCACTTTGCTCATTCCCATGACTAGTGCCCATGACTCTCAGGCTTGGGTCCTCAGCCTGCCTCTCTCTCCTGAGTTCTACCTCCCAGATCGGCTTACTGCCCACTCACCACCTCTCGTTCGAAGCCTCCCACAAACCAAGGCAATGCCGGCAGTGACTCCCAGACTGCTCCTCTTCCAGGGCTCCATCTCAGAGAACGGGGCCACACTCCACCAGCAGCACCAGCCAGGACCCAACCTCCCTTCTTTCGACCCTTCACAAAGCCTCCAACTCCTACAGGGTCAACCTCCTCAAGAGCTCCCTTCTGTCCCAGCCTCAGCAGACCCAACTCGGGCCTGGGCCAGCCCAGCTAGCATGACTTCTTGGGGAGGGGAACACACAGTGAGGCTCCACCTCCTGCCAGTCCTTCAGGGAGCAACAGCAGCAGCACCCCGAAGGCTGAAAACTTTTTGAAAGCCACAGTCCAAGCTGGCTTTCAAGACTCCACGGTGTGCTGTGACCTCCATCCCTACCTCCTTCATTCTTTAAAAACAAGCTGGTACTTGACACATCACTACTTAGTGGTCCATGTGTCTAGTTGGTTCTGAAATACTTAAAGGAAGTGCCAAGGCAGCGATTTGGGCCCTGACGATAAGGTTCAGGTTCAGGCCCAGCATGGACCAGTGGTATAGCCTCCTGAGCATTGTATCCATGACCTGATGCTAACTATGTTCCTCTCCCCCACACACACACACAAACTGGCCTTGGTCTTGTGGGAAGTAAAGTCGAGAATTAACGCTCTCTATGTTGAGAGCTCACGGCACAGTCCTAGAGACAGTGAGTTCAGTGATCCATTCTGTAAGCGATCCAGTCCTGAGGCTGGAGCTCTGTCTCTTACTAGGATGGGACAGACTGCTGGTCTTTCATAGTATCTCTCAGAGACCACTCTTCCAGCAGGTCGCTGGCTCTGTGTGCAGCGGGGTGGGGAGTGGTGGGCTCTAGGGTCCCCGGAGGGATGCACACTTTTCTTCTTCTTCCTTTCAGACCGCCTGGCTGGGCGAGGTCCCTGCGTTATCCGTTTTTGGCGATGGATCGAATATCATCCCAACAATCCACGTGCATGACTTAGCAGGGTGAGCTTTCTCCCGGGAGTTTGGTGATTGATGTGTTTCCGCACCAAGTGGGCATTGGCCAGGCCACAATGCTAAGACCCTCCCCTGTATGCCCACCGCAGAGCTGGGGTCCCTTGTCCACCTGATGAGATAGGGTCCGGCCTTGAAAATCACCTCGTGTCTGATGCCTCACTCAGGTGCTGCCCTTAGGTTCCAGTTGAAAAGCTGGCCCTGTGATGGTGGAGAAGAGAAAAACTCAACACGTGTTTTTTGGGGACAGTGTGTCCAGGTCCCGCCAGCTACAATCTGAACTCTGAACAAGAGAAGCTATTTTTTTTTTTTTTGATAACTGTCACTTTTTCACCTTCACAGTACATCTCGACCCTAAGTTCTAGGCAGGTCCTGAGTCCTTCCTCCTTCCCCGAAAAAGCACACTTAAACACCAGGTCAATGAGCTGGGTCACTCGTGGTCCATCGTTTGCAAAATGGGGACAAGAGCGTTGTTAGAGGCCATTGAGCAAGCGGGTCCCGCACTGTCTTCCTGGTGGGCGGTCTGCTCCCGGCCACTGGGGCGGCCACTGTACGTTCTGAGCACCTTCCAACAGGGGATCATCTCCAGCACTATCTGGGACAGCCTGTCGTGATCCGTGGGGCTTTCCAGGGTTCGTGGTCAGAAGTCAGTTGCTACGCGTCCCTTCCCAGTCTCGTCTGCCTTAGTCTTAAAAGCTCCATGGAAACCTGTCCACCATGGGTGACGTGGCTGGAATTTGAACTGGTAGCTGCAGCAGAGCTTCCTGAACAACAGCCACAGCAAGCCCCCACGGTGCCACACAGGACGAAGGGGGCCGGGGGTTATCGCAACGACCTAAGAGGTTGTCATGGTGAACGGTACGCACAGCCAGCCAGAAGAAGGAACAAGCGGTTGTGGCAGACAGTCCGGTCAGAATGCTCCTGGAGGTGAGGATGGCGGGACCTTGGCCACGTGATCAGGAGGTGCCGGTCCTCGGAGAAGGACAGTGTGCGTGGTGAAGGAGAGGGGCGGAACCAAAAGGCAGGGCCTCGATGAGACAGACGGCCGCCGTGGCTGCAACAATGGGCTCAGACAGAACATGGTGCAGGACCGGGCGGTGTTTCCATCTGTTGCACTTGGGTCGCCATGTGCCAGAACCTGCTGGCGAGCGCATGCTGTTGTGAGGCTTGAAGGAGATACCACGTGGGAAGCCCTTAGTACGGCTGGGTGCAGACATGCTGTCACAACCAAGAATCTGGGGCCCAGCCCAGTTAGCACACCCAGCAAGTGTGACAGTGGCTTCAAATCTGTTACTTGCTGGGTTGAACCCCAGTGTCCCAAAGCTTGCAACACTCAGCTAAGCCAATGGAGGGCGGGCAGCTGCTCCCTAAAGCCGAGTCCCTCCAGGTGGGACTTCTCATCTTGGGAGACAGCACGACACCCCAAAGAGAATGGGATACAGGTACCCATGGTCTGTCTTCCAGTTCTGGCACTTCTGCCTTGCCGCTAGCTACGGTCTACTCAGCTTTCTGTCCCCCAGCCTGCTCCCCTGGGGGATGCAGCTGGCAGGATCACCCCGCTGCCTGCTGGGTGGTTTCTCGGTCGCCTGCCTTCTCCCTGGTGACTCTGTGCTGGTTTGCAGAGTGATACAGAACATAATCGACCACGTGCCGAAGCTGCACTACCTGCTGGCTGTGGACGAGTCTGTTCACACCCTGGAAGACATCGTTAAGGTATGGGGGCACCACCCCAGGCGCCAAGGGCAAACTTGGGTTGTTGAAAAACTCCCATCTGAAAAACCGTAGCCTCTGCGAGATGCAGTCAAGGGCAGCACCAGGCAGTCACGCTGGATGGTGCAGAGGGACTGGGCGCAGCCAGCCTGCACCCAGCAAGACCTGCATGGTGGGGAGCAGAGAAGGCCACTGTGGGCAACTCAAGGGGTTCCCACCTCACCACACACACACACACACACTCTCATAGATAAGCTTGGCTAGTGGAAAGGGGGCTGCTACCTTAAGCAAGGTGCTCCTTTAAGAACCATGTCTGTGGCAACTCAAAAGGTCAGATGGGAACTTTAGGGGAGGGGCAGCAAGTTTATGTTAATGAGGGAGGAGCCCTCTGAAGAGGCAGGTGAAGATCATCCGTACAGCTTGAGGAATGGCCTCCCTGGGTGTCCCTAAGTGGTCCCTCTGGACAGGGTTGGGGGGTTTGCTGCATATATCTCCAACAGCAACAGCAAAATGAGTCACATTAAGGGGAAGAAGAAAAACCCCATTTTTTTTTGGTGGGGGGGAAGAAAAGCAAGAAGGGAACCCCTGGGGGGCAAATCCATGCAGGAACCTCTGCAGTGTGATTATGTTAGATTTTGCATGTATTACTGCTGTTAGTATTTTTTAGACTCAGGTAGGCCTACATTTAGCTGCATCCTTGCAGGTAAGTCAAACGATATTTTAATTTTTCTCTAACAGTGCATCAGTAAAAACACTGGCCCTGGGAAAATCCAGAAGTTACAGAAAGAAAACGCTTTCCTAACCAAGGACTTAACGGTCAGTACTGAAGAGGCTGTGATCGCCCCCCACCCCCTTCTTTTTTTCTTTCTAAGTATGTTGGTCCTTACAGAATTGGGAGTGACAATGTGGCTTTGTGCCTCGGCGTTGACTGAGACTCATAGCTGCCCTGCGGGATGGGGCAGAACTGCCCTGAGGGGCTTCCTCGCCTCTAACCTCCATGGAAGCTGAGAGCCCCGTCTTCCCCCCTCAGAGCCGCTGGTGGGGTTGGAACCACTGTCCTCATAGTTATCAGCCGAGTGCTTAATTTGCACCACCAGGGCACCTTGGGTCAGGATAAACTAAGAAAAATCACTCCTGCTACCATCGAGTTCATCCCAGATCACAGTCACCATCCTCTTTATGAGACACGCTGCCTCCTGTCCCTGCCAAGGATGAGCTGGGGGGCTTGAATCGACAACCTTCAACCAAAACAAAAACCCCTGCAGCTGAATCAGTTCTGACCCAGAGAAACCCTGTAGCAGAGTAGAAGTGCCCCACAGGGATTCCGACTGCACATCTCTCTCCAGCTCCCTTGGAGCCACTGGTGGGGTTTGAACCTGCGGCCTCTCCAGTAGCAGCTGAGCCCTTCACCGTGGAACCGCCCAGGCTCCTTGGAGTCAGAATAAATGAGAAAAACCAAACCCATCGCTGTCAGGCCAACAGAATTGCCCCAGAAGGTTCCGAGCCTGTAAAATCTTTCCAGGAATGGACGGCCACATTCCTCTCCTGAGGAGCTGCTGGGTGGGTTTAAACTGCAGCCACACGCTTGAACCACGAGATGCCACTAGGGCGCCCTGAAATCAGAGCCCTGCCTTTCAGTCCACTGTTGGCTCTTCTGGTCTGCGGGAGCTGGGGCGGCCTTACTGTCCTGAGGCGACTCCTCTTCTCTTCCTGAAGCCTCGTGTGAACCCAGCGAGGAGGAGGAGTGAGTACAGTGGTGCAGAAGCACTGGACATTGTCCTTGCTGGCCTCCTGCTCGCCGAGGCACTGCCCGGGCCTCGCCACGGAGGCAAATGGTGGCTTCACTGCCACTCCAGGCTCTTCGGTCTTGTTTCAGGATCAGATCATCCTGGGGACCGGTCACGTATGCGTGCCAGCTGCTGTGTCCCGGCCTTGCTGCTGAAGGGTAGGGCGAGTGAGTGGGGTTGGTCAGAGGGCGGCCTGCACTCCATTCTCTGTCCTTGTGAACCGCGGAGCTGCACACGTACTGAAAACCAGATGGAGCTTTGAGAAAGAAACAGGAAGATTTAGCTTGTCTTCCGGGGCCTCCTCGCTTCTTTCCGAGCAACTCTTCTGCCCACGGAAGAGCCGTGGAAATAGATCCGGTGTGAGGAGAGCTGAAAAAGGGTCCCAGCATCCCAGTGGGTGTTCTGCAAACGTAGGACGTCATGCTGGGCTGCTCCTGTTGACTGGCTCCGTGAGATTTTTCTTGAGGGACTAGCAATGGTGGTCGGCTACAACAGCCAACGTGGAAAGAAAAGAGAAAACAAAGGGGGGGAGGAAACCCTGTCTGATTTTTCTTTTTCTCTTAGCAAGAGTTCCTTGACCACCTGTTGGTCAACCTGAGGATGGAGGCGGTCTATGTGAAGGAGAGTTTTAACATACGGTGGGTTGCCCAGAACGGATTTGTGGAGAATATCAACAACATCCTCAAAGAGTACAAGCAGAGCAGAGGACTGCTGGTAACTATGACCACCTCTCTTCATCTTTCTAATAGAAGGAAAAGTAGGCCAATCTTTGAGCGCGATTTAACTGATTAAAGACTTTGCTTCTTTAAAAAACAACAACAAAAACGTTATAGTGAACTGGGTGAAGGATTCCAGAGCAAATCAATTTGCCGTTCAACAAGTCATACATGTTTTGTTTCATGTCATTAATCGCCATCCCCACCCCGGTCCACCCCCTATTCAACTCCCTCCCTATGTCCCCCGGCACTTTCTGCTTTCAAATCTCCAAATTTGAAATCCTCTTGCCACATTGACTAATGTGTCCAGTTCTAACAATCTACATGTATTTTTATGTCAGTCAACTGGGTATCCTTTAAAACAGGGGTGTCAAACTGGTGGCCCCTGAGGTAACTTTTTGTGGCCCGTGATGCTCTGAAATAAAATGAAAATAGAAACAATCGTTATAAAGCAAATAACACTTAGGGGAGATTGAGGCAATACCTTACACACAATTCCCTCGTTAACCCTTTAACTACGAAGACGAGTATACCCGTGGTCCAGTGCCTTTCCTGGGGGCCTGTGGACGTGTATAAACACGCTGACTTCAGTTCTGGCGATGTTTGGAAGCGAGATGTCTGCCACTCTCAGTGTCACGTAATGTAAACAGATCCCAATAGGGAAAAGGTTAAAAGGAGCACTCTGGGTTGTGCTGTTAGGAATCACCCCTAGCGGCAGCGCTAGTGAACATTTTTTGAGGGAAGCCGTTATGGTGTGCATCAAACAGCCATTATGACTGTGCATCACGCTTGTCAGCTGTCCAACATCATCTGTTTTTTATTAGCTACTTTATTATATTTTCCAGTCACAACATAAGGGGGAAGTGAAAATTAGTAGGAGGAAAGCGCTGGCAAGCTTCAGGTAAAAAAGAATAATTTTAGTTTTATGAATACATTAAATAAAATATATGTTGAAATAAAAGCAATTATATAGTGTTTTAATTATCCTATCTATATTCCTGAATCCTCACTTCAAAATATAAATTAAAAAAATATATAAATTGAACAAAATTTATAAGTGTGATGTGGCCCGCATGAATCATGCCTGTTGCACCAAATGGCCCGTGCTTTAATTGAGATTGACACCCCTGTTTTAAAGTTAACATTAACATTGAGAGTCGCTGTTGAACATGGTATCAGTCAAGGCTCAGGCAGTTACCTTACAGCCTGGGTGCGGAGCTGCCTGAGTACGACTTTGCTCTCTTACTGTTGGCCAGCAGCTTTGAAGGTAATGTTAAGCATCAAGGTTGGCATGCTTCCTCCCATGTTACAGATGAGGCGACTGAGGCTCAGAGAGATGAAGCCACTTCTTCAAGCTCACACTGATGGCCAGGGATGCCTGCTAGCCAGCTAGGATGCTGTCCATCCACCCGCAGAGCCCACACCGCCTTCCCTGAAACCAGGCAAAGGTGGCACTAGCCCAGATCTTAGGATGTACCCCAGGGGTGGGAGGGGGGAGTGGTGCCTGAGAACATGTTCTGAGACCTGTGCAGTGGCACCTGAGTGAGGCAAAGGGACATCACGGTTGTGATGGCCATTGCATGTGAGAGCCTGCTACACAGCACATGCAGGGCCATCACTGCAACTCAGGAATGACATTCTCTCAAAAAGCACGCCTCGAGGAGAATCGGGGGAAGACACACCGCTCAGCCCCATGGGTCGGCCCCTTTCAGCACCAGGGCACCCAGGGCAGGTGTTCTCAGAAGACCCCCACTGAACCGACCCCTACTCCATGGCAGTCCAAGACGCAGAGCAGAGCTGTCCCACAGCCTCTCCTGGACGGGACGATTTCCAAGGGCAGAGTACCGGTCTGTCCTCTGAGGAGCCGCTGGTGAATTTGGACAGCTGACCTATTGGAGAAGAGCTGGTTGCTTTACCGCGGCACCACCAAGCCTTCTTGTCCTAAGGCCCACCCAACCCCGATGCAAGAGGTCAGACCGAGGTCATCCTCTGGGGACCAACTGAGAAAGAGCTCAGTCTCCCACCCACTGTCGTCAGGTCCCTTCGGACCCACAGCGACCTGGAGGGCAGAAGAGAAGTTCTCTCGAGGGTTTCCAAGACTGCACAGAGACCCTCTCGAAGGTCTTCACAGGGGCAGACGGCCTCATCTTTCTGCCAAGGGGCGGCTGGTGGGGTTGAAGTGCTGGCCCTGTGGTTTGTAGCCCAATGCGTAACTCACTGCACCACCAGGGCTCCCAGTCAGAGGGGAGCCATCAGAGGGGAGACACTTTGCAGAGACACGGTGCTCTTGACTAGCAAGACGGTGACAGTCATCGAGATGTGGCTGCTGGTTCCCCTGGCTCGTGGTGGCCCTTCCATAACAGGCAGGACGGCTGTGATCCAGGCAGAGGGCTTCCACTGGCTGGATTTTGGAAACAGACCACCAGGTCTTTCTTCCTGGTTCATCGTAGCCTGTAAGTTCCACGGTGGCCTGTTCAGCGCCACAGCAACACGCGCACCTCCACTGACAGTCACACCGACAGGAAGCATGACGGAGGCCCTTGCAGGCAGGGCTAGCCAGGCCCCACGGAGATGGAATCTCCAGCCCCGGCGCCCACCGTCTGGCCCCTGTGGCAGGTTGAAGGCATCCCTGCTCTGGAGAAAGATGCTCAAGCTCTCTTCACTGCCTGTGGCCTGCTCAGAGCCAAGCACGCCCTGACGATGCTCAGCTGCCCACACCTGCCTGCTCCTGGCAGCTAGGACCAGTGCACCAGGCACGAGGCTGTGGAGGGAACCAGGTGCGCGGCAGCGCCGTGCTTCTCCGTGCAGAGAACACACTGGCATCCTGGTGTTGAACACAGTCTTAGACACTTGGATGAGCTGGCAGACCCACCATTAAGGTGTAGACGTAGTGTGTGTGCGTGTGGGTAAGTGTGAGTGTATATGCATGAGTGTGAGTGTGTGAGCAAATGCAAGTATGCAAGTGTGAGATGTGGGTACGAATGTGTGTGTGTAAGTTGTGAGTATGAGCGTGTAAGTGTGCCAGTGTGTGTGAGGGTGTGGGTGAGTGTGAGCAAATGTATGGGCAAGTATGAGTGTGTGCAGCCGGGTGTGTGAATGTGAGGGTGTGTGAGTGTGTGGGTGTGAGCTGTGTGAGCGAATGAGTGTGGGTGTGTGTATCTGTGTGTGTGTTTTGTTTTGTTTTTAACACTTTATTAGGGGCTCATACAACTGTTATCCCAATCCATACAGACATCAATTGTGTAAAGCGCATTTGTACATCGTTTCTCAAAACATTTTCTCTCCATTTAAACCCCCGACATTAGGTCCTCATTTTTTCCCTCCCTCCCCGCTCCCCCCTCCCGCATGAGCCCTTGATAGTTTATAAATGGGTATTTTGTCATATCTTGCCCTGTCCGCCGTCTCCCTTCATCCACTTTTTGGTTGTCTGTCCCCCAGGGAGGAGGTCACACGCAGTTCCATGTAATCGGTTCCCTCTTTCCTACCCATTCTCCCTTTATCCTCCCTGTTTTGCCGTGTGTGTGTGTTTATGTGTGAGAGAGAGAGAGAGAGAGAGAGAGAGAGAGAGAGAGAGAGAGAGAGAGAGAGAGAGAGAGAGAGAGAGAGAGAGAGAGAGAGAGAGAGAGAGTGTCTGGACTGCTCTTTCGGTATCTTGGAGGTGATGGGGTTTAGGACCCACTCCACACTGCTCCGACCAAAGCTGACTGGTCCATGCTGTCGCACTGCACTCTGTCACCTCCCTGGGGACCTGGACCAGGAGACAAGTGCACGGTTGGGAACAACAGCTCCACACACACTTGCTCTCCCCATACGTAGAGCGACAGCAACAATAGAAATAACCAACTTAATGGGTTTGAAGGCAGGGATTCGGGTCCCTTCTCCTCAGGTGGGGGACGTCCGCTGGTACGACCTCCAGGGCCTTTGGGAGAGGGCTCACTGCTGCCACCCGACAGCACCCTGACTGCTCCCCAGCTGTCCCCAGCCCTCAGCGCCCCTTGTCCTCTCCCCAGCCCATCAAGATCTGCATTCTCGGCCCCCCTGCCGTGGGAAAGACCGCCATCGCCACGGAGCTGTCCAAACACTACAAGCTGCACCATGTCAAAGTGAAGGATGTCATCACAGAGGCCATTGCTAAGCTGGTAAGCGGCCCTTGCAGGGCCTCCCTGTAAAGGATGAGAAATGGAACCCCGCCCTGGTCCATCTTGCTGTAAAGAACCAGACAAGTCCATGCCCATCTCCGCCTGTAGGCAGGCTCGCTGCTTTCTCTGCCTTCTCTTACCAGCCCTGTTGGGAAAGCACAGCACACGTATGTGTGCAAGTACAGGTGCGCGCACACATGCACCAGTGCACACATAGGCGCACACATGCCCGTGTGCACACACAGGTACACACGCAGCTTTCCCTATGGGCATGGGAGCCCATTCCAAAGGCAGCCCTTGGAACTGACTCTGTCTTGAGCTGTGGTTCAAATGATACTCTGTATCCTGGACATACAGTGACTTCTTTTTTCTGGGGGTCAAAAGATATCTTCACAAAACTTTGATTATGCCAGCATTATTTTCGTGTGCAATTCAGAGACATTGAGCATACCCACTATACTGTGCAAACCCCCCTACTCTGTTGGTAATTGTTCCATCACCCCTAACAGAGGCTGGGTGCCCCATGAAGCCACCGCCTCCTCCTCTTCCATCTCCTCTCCCTCCTCCCTCCCTTCTCCTCCTAGGGTCCGGAGCCCCCAGGCCCAGCCACTCATCCCTCCGAGTGTTTGGCTGTGGCTAAGAAGTGTTCGTGACTTTGCTTCCTGTTTGCCACACTGAGGTATAGGTGTGTCAAAACGGCCTCCATCCAACTGAGCTCACTTGTGGGCGTAGTCCCGTCCTCCTCTCCACACCTGCTCACTTGTGTGTCTGTCTGCAGCCGCCTGTAGATGGCTACGTGTCAGGACTGGGTACACAGTAGTGTTTCCCTCGTTTGCCTGGAGCGGGAGCTCTTTCTCTCTGGCACTCCACCAGTGGCCGCCCTGCCTTCATCCTTCTGTGCTGATCCCCCCTCTTATTGTGCATTGCCTTCCCCTCACCTCTGCAGGCTCACCTGTGTCTCCCCTGAGATGGACCTTCCCTCTGCCACTCAGCACAAGTCACCTGAAGAACGGAGCCCTTTGCATGAAAGCGTGTTCGGGATGTTTTATCGCCGTGGTCACATGCGTTTGCCCATGGTGGTGTCTCAATGCACTCAGCATGCTGTCCCCCAGGCTCCCCCACGGTCCGAGGGGCCGGGGGGCAGCCTTGGTCTTCACATTGGAGTCCGGTGTGTGTGCGCGCCATGGTTGGTCAGGTGTCTCATTCCTGACGCGTGTCTCTCAGGGCCTTGTCGGCGTGCTTGCTGACTAACTCCTTGTGGTTAATAAGTAGATTCTGAGGTGCACGTCCATAAGCCATTCCTAAGCCTTGATATATTTTCAAATGTATTTCCTTTGGGCAAAGTACAGCCTTTATCTACACATTCAGAAGCTCACGGCCATTGAGTTGATTCCGACTCGTCGCGCCCCTGTAGGACAATGTAAAATTGCCCCTGTGGATTTCTGAGACGATAACACTGGACAGTATTAGAAAGCTTCAGCTTCCTCCCTTTACCTACAAAAGGGTTGCATCCTGATAGACTCTGGCATCATCCCAGGAACGTCTGGTTCTTCTCAAGTCCAGTGAGAAAAGCCTGGGGGAGGCGGGGTAACTTCACTTCTCTGTAGACCCACACATCCTGACAATCTCTGGGGCTGTCTGCATGATCCAGTGTGGGTTTCCCTTAAGCCCTGCACCGATGGTTTTAGTTACGGATTCTCCCACAGTGCAAGAGGCTAGAAATCCGAAGAATTCAGGGCACCTTCCTCTCTCTGTTGGCTCCGGGGAAAGGTCCTTGTCTCTTTTCGGCTTCTGTTTCTTGGTTTGGCATCTCTCTTCTCCAATCTCTGCTGGCTACTCTAGGCATACTCTGCTCTTTGTAAAAAAAAAAATCATTTTATTGGGGGCTCATACAACTCATCACAATCCATACACCCATCAATTGTATAAAGCACATTTGTACATTCGTTACCCTCATCATTCTGAAAACATTTGCTCTCCACAAGGATGCTTCTTTA